CCGGCATCGGCTTCAATTTTACATTACTAGTTAGCAATCTAGTTTATTTTATATATCTGTGAACAAAGCTATCTAAAATCATACATTATATAATATTTAGCAGTGAGAAACAACAAAATGCATATATTACAGTTTTAGAATGTCACAACGTCATCACCGATGTTGACGGAAAGCAATAACTAATACGATATAGTAATAACTGAAAAGTTAAAAGTTGTAGTTTTGTTTGTCTAACCTCCAACGATAGAGCACAATATTATATTTCTTTGGCGATGAATAATATGCAGTAAACGTTTAATGTACGTAACTCGTTAATTCGGTTAGGTATTTTCCGGAAATCTTATTATATATTACGAAGGGTTATCGAAAAGAAAACAAAGAACCACGACCGTAATAAAACGCATTAACGTTGAACTATTATTTGACAATAATTGCCGCCGACGAATGACCCATAAGTGTAGAATTCGCAGAGATAGGGCATTTCAATCGTACGGGAGGTCTCTATCTATTTAAAAGATTAATGAAAGAAAAAAAAAACGCCCGTTATCAATTTATGTCTACGGTCGTCGTTTCCGGAGACATCAATGAACGGACGGGCACGGCCGTGTACACACGGTTTTTATTACCATATACGATTCGTTTGAGAAAAAACGAACCGCGTTGCGAGGAACCAAACAAGGGAAAAAAGGTTAGTAAAGGGCCCGGTTGTGTATATATACTTGAAAATATTACAAAACGGGGACAAAATAAACAAATGCCGCCGCTGTAATCACCGTCGAAATCCGTGGAGGAATGCGAGCGGCGTTGCCGTTTGGACGGCGCGTCATTCAGCTAACCGGTTTGGGCTCTTTACGGGCGGCCGTCGGCAACGTGGCGCCCCGTTCGGCACGTTCCCGGGGCGGCAGATGGTTTGTACTCAATTGAACAACTGCTCCTCCTAAACACATTTTGTTGTGCAAGTACGCCTGTCGCCTGCCCGCTCCCGTACAGCTGTTCATACTTACATTATCATTATCAATATAATTATTATTCTCGAAACACGTTTTGGTACACAGAAAATCAACGAAAATCCAGTTGCAGCAGCAGCAGCTGATTTAACCCACCTGTGACTAATAATAACAATATTATACTTGATAGGGCTTTACCCGGTTCGACGAAAATTGTCCAGCCTAAAATATAATGTCTCCAAGAGTGCTTGGTAGGTAACAAACTCTTGGTTGACCAGTGTCATAGACAAAGGCCGTCCGAAAATTGGGTTGATTATCAAAACATATTTAAGGTTAGGTTAAAAGAAAACTTGTTAAAACCAAATGATTGGTTTAAAGTTAACTGTCTGTTTGCTGCCTAAGTTAAATTTGGCATGAAACTCTCTCTCTCTCTCTTTTTGAAATCTGCAATTGAGGCAGACTGCAGAATGAAATTTCACGTTTCAAAACTTAATAATATACTAGAGTTGCTGGTTTGTACTGGACCATCAGCAGCTCTTGTACTTTCTCTTTGCAGTCGACAAAATTGCTCGCCAAATGAGAAGGTTTCTAGTTTCTACTGGATAAAGTGTATAATATCATTATAACATGGCACTCGGTGGGGTTGGAATAGGTCAACGGCTGAATGTCGAATGACTTATCTGCGTTTCCGATTAAGTATATAATAATATAATATTATTGTACAGTTCATACCTACCTAACGTTCCATCCGTTTACCAAGTACCAACCCATATCCGTTCAAACGGAAAACGATGAAATAAAAAAAAACCAGGCCCATCCGGTCCATTGTTTAAAAAGGTTAAAATGTAAACCACGTGTCTAAACAAAAAACATTTGTCGACATTGTGCATTTTTCGTCTACCACATTAACAAAATATCATTAAATATTCCAATAACGGATAGCCCCATGACCCGTCCAAAATAGGATTTTAGTTTTCTCAATGAATCGCTTATCTTGTATTATATACTATCTGTTTTGGAACCCTAACGCACTCCATATGTTGATAATATGTTAATATATTGTTATTCCCACGTTCGTTGATCGGTTCTCAAACTTCAGAATAAGATACCCTTTAGATTATTTTCTTTTTATTTGTGATTTATGTCGCGTTCACTGTATATATCAGATGGTATTTGTTTTTATATGTACCCAATTTTTGTTTAAATGTAACCATTGAAAAACTTAACTCGGTAATAGCTTATTATTATACAACTCGACGCTGAAAAATAATATTAATTATGAATTATGATGTATACTTATATTATATACTATACCTTTATATTATATGTGTGTAATTAGGGGTTTTCTTTTGACGGGATCATATTTGTATAATTTTTATTATTTTACAATCGATTGACTTGTTAATTGTAATTTATGACATATTATAATTTTAAGAATAATAACAGTGCAAAAACTAAGATTTTCCAAGGGGTTTTTTTTAGCGTTTTGCGTAGTCATTATCTAAGTATTGAACGTTAGCTATTCTTTTGATATTATATTTAGTAGTTATCAACGCATGCGAAAAAACAAATTATGTTTATTTTACCGTTTGTCAAATTAATAGTAAACATTATCTATTATACAGTTTTTGTAATTTTTTTCCAAAGATATCTTTATTATGCGACTATGGTTATCACTATTTCTTTATTTTGAATTTGTAGACTGATAAAAGGACTAAAAGTTATTTACTGTAAGGCCATATGTTAAAAATGTATAAGTAAAATTTTAAAAAAGTTAGACTTAATTCATGAACGAAATAACATGCCAAGGAAGTATTATATTCGATTTAAATGTGTATGCTGAATTTTAAAACGTGTTGACTTTGTAATATAGTATATGTTTTATAAATACAGTAGAGAGCATTTCATTTTTGTGATATTGTTTTGTTCATTTTGAAATTTTAATTCACCTTTCAGAAAATCTCTAGACTCTAGTTACTCTTGTGAGTTGTGTCGCCAACACCATTAGCAAATACTTTAAATTACATTTTTTGTCATTTATAGTATTTGCCATTAGACATTAGTTAGCAAAATACTATTGCTTTATTATTTTTAACGCTTTTTCGTTCTTAGTGAATAACAGTCATATAGAAAACTATATTGTATGACAGTTTTAATATCTCATTTCCATATTGTATTATATAAACATTTTTAAAACTTAAAAAAATGGGATTTTGTATTATATCTTGGACACGACCCCCAGCGGGACATGCATTTAATTCAAACCATTTGAAATAATTATCGAATTTTGTGTAGGTGCATAATTAATGAATACATTATATTATGATTATCCACGCCTGTTTGACACCACAATAACACTTATTATTTTCATGTACTTTTGTAAACAACTACGGCTCGTTAATGAGCATTAACTACAGAATAATGATTTCCCACGTTCCTATTTCCGGTATCCAAGGCTACTGCGCATTTTTTTTTTCAAATAAGATGCATCTCAAAATGTACCCAAGTAGTAGCTTCGATTTCTCAACATGGAACGAATAACGTACAGTGGTAGCACTGTTGTTTTTGGATTGTAACAAATAATGATAGTGAAATATTTTTCTGAATGACATATTTTACTAGACTGCCGCCCAAGTCCCAGCTGTCAACCGTGATAAGTAGTACCAATATTGAATAAACTATAGTTTTTTTTTACTATGCATAGTGACTATAGTATAGTGTATAGTTTCTATAACCTCCAAGCACTAACCATAGCTGTAATTTCTGAGTAAACTGTATAATTGCAAGGATAACAATTTACAAAGTGTTCATACCAAATAGTGCACTCATAGGATTATTAAGGAAACTTAATATATTAAGTTATCTATTCATCAGTCTATTAAAAAATGGCATAAATCTAAAATCTTTTTTTTATGAATTTATTAAGGATAATAATATTGTAATTCTCATGTACAATAATCCTTTTTTTATACTCTACCGTTAATTTTGATATTTTGGACTAAGCTCTTTGCTAAGTAAGCTGACGATATATATTTATATATAATATAAAAGAAAATTAGAATAATTGTTTTGAGTTTTTTATCTTAAGTATTACAATCAATATTGTTTGTTTCGTATAATTTCAGCTATAACATTTACAGTTCGTTTCTGAATTTAAATGATAAAAAATTATAATTTGTCATTAACAGACAGTTTTGTAATTGTAGAACTGGTTTTTTGTATTTTAAACGTTGTCATTTTGTGTGCAGCTTATAAACTATAAAAACTAGCAACTAACAGATCGTCGTACGACAATTTTTTTTAATTATTTCCTATTCAAATGTTACTCTCTGCAAATATAATGATTTACGTTCACACTTCATAGAAATACATTGTCATGGATCTCCAATTACAGTTGTATCCATTGAGTTTACAGGGTTTAGGTTTTTACCCGGTCGAATGTCAACATTTTGGTAATTACATAGTAATATAGTTTTAAGTAGATTTTTTGGTTAAAGTTTGTTCGTTGTAGTGGATTATGAGTCGGACATTAGTAAATAATATTGAAACGATGCTCAGCGCGGTTTGTACAAGGACGGGGGAAGTGTTACGCACGGCGTAACAACAGAGCTGAAATTTCCAAATTAATATTATGAATACAATTTTATCAGTAGTGTACCTAAACGTAGGCTCGGTTGTCGAAGGGTAGTTAAAAATGTACATTTCGTGTGCATGTATGTAAAACAAAAATCAAGCGTCGTTGCCGCTATACAACCGCCTTACATAACGCAGTGTTGTGGATGCGGCGGCCATATTATTGCACATAATATTATTATCATTCTTTTTCGTCTGTGCAGAATCGGGCAGGCCGTACCTACCTACAACACAGTACACGGTATATTGTTGTTATTTACGTTTTGAAAGTTCCATTGTTGTTGTCCAGAGCCAGTCATGCTGGCAGATAGATTCAATGGTTGTCAAAAACGGGAGGCCACACTGCCGACGGCGGCCGAAGGCGTGGAGGGGCCGTGACGACGGCGACCGAGCTGTGCGGTTACCCTTGTGTAACGTCAGTGCTGATCGCTGCGGCCTCCTGTATGCGTTTACGGTACACAATGTCCCACGTCTAGCGCTGTTACTCTCTTATTCTCGGTAGAAATCAATTTTTCTCCAACACAAACGCCAGCTCGCCGCCGCGTCGTTTCGTGTTGTGGATATTGCATTTATTCGATACAACATGTTGTTTTTTGGAACGGATATCGTGTAAACTTATCATAATATACTCGTGTGGTTTTTGTTTTTTTGTCGGATCGTCGCGTTTAGTGTGTTATTATTAATATTTTTCGATTCGTCAACAACCGTAACCCGCGGGTGCCATATACCACTAATAAAAACCTAAGGTACGATAATTATTTTATTATTGTCATTATATTCTTCATATATGTTCTATCGTTAACGCCCGTAGTATTGTCGCGTTGCTCGTTTCGGTTTTAGACGACGCCGAATATTATTTTATTGTATTGCATTTTTTTTCCCACTCGCCACGACGCGACGGTTGGTAGAACTCCATTTTAGTGTGTTGTGAAGGTTATTGCGTGGCTGTATAAGGCGTTCCATCTGTTCCGCTACACGGTCCATAGCGAAAATAATAAAATAATCGATACGGACTACTTGTTTTTATTAATGATACTTATTTTTTCCTGAAAATTCACACCATTTCACGTTTATATTCATTTTTGTCAAAGTATAAAATAATTATTAATCACTTGGTCAATTTATTGTATCGCTTCCGTATAATATGGAAACATATGTTTATGTACAAATTTTTAATTTCTAATTAATCGTTTTGTTTATTTGTCAAAATAAAGTTTTATGACAACTATTATTGAAATTGTATATAATACAAATATATATATATTTTTTATTGTAATATATTAAAACATGTTGTAAGACTCGTGACTTCCACTTGGTATATCATTAACGGAAATATTATAACCTAAGCTAATATAATATTTTGTATACAATAAACTTAAATAAAAATATATACTGATTAATTTACGACCCCGATTTAAAAAAAAAATAGACGCCGTGTCATTGAGGTTAATTTAAATGGGAAATATAATTTGCCCCTCGACCAGCATGTGTTTAAATAAAATAGAAATTAATACCGAATACCTATAATCCTAATTATTATTGTAATTGTTAATGATTACAAAAGTTGTTACAATTTATCTTTGTAGATATTAATAAAAAATGACTTATTATCTTTCTTTATTTATTCGACTATTGTTTTGTCAAAAATATTTGTATTCATATTATTTATCTCCTAACTATTTATTTCTATTAATTATCAGCTGACGTCATTGATGTTTTTTGATTAGTAATACATCTCCTATCATAAGTTTGAAGTCCTATGTAAATTAGAAGACGAAATAAACAATTTCAATTGTTTTTTTCTTGATAGATATAGTATATGTAATTATATATACATACAGTACTGTATTAAGAAAAAAAACAATTGAAATTGTTTATTTCGTCTTACAGAGGACTCAAACTTATGATAAGAGATGTATTACTAATGAAAAAACATACAATGACGTCAGCTGATAATTAATAAAAGTAGATTGTATATATAAAAAATCATAAATACTTCACTGATAATATGTTGCTTCTAAATTATAGTAATAATTAATATTTTGCCTTAAGGAAATTAAAATCAGCCAGTTTTTCTAATGTAAAAAAATTGTTTTTCAATATTGAACAGTTTTCAAATTAAAACTTTTTTAATTACAAGAAAACTGAATTTTGTTATGAAAGTTGATTTCTTACATAATCTAGTAGAGTAGTAAAAAAACACTAGTTTTTTTTTATACAATTGAAATTTGGCTATTCTAAGCTGGTGTAATTTTGTCAGCCTTGTATCATATTATATGCTTTCAGTATATATAATGAAAATAGTATTAAATCATATTTTTAGTTAGGTTGGTTATCTATGATATTTAAAATAAAACATGGTTGTCTCATAATTTTTTTTTTTGTTTTACAGATGAGTCCATCACCAAATCATAATTCGTTAGCACACACATTAAGGAATATAGTAAAGCATGAGAAAAATGTTATTCATATGGCCAATGGTTGTCCTATTATATTGAATACGGCACATCCCTTGACTGAATTTGTTTCTGACAGTCAACCTGAATCAACTCCAATGTCTGCAAATGAAACTCCTTTGTGGGACTTGACTACATTTGAAAACCGCTTGAGAACATTTAATGATGAATGGAAATTGGAATTTTTAACACCTAATCAAATGGCAAAGGCAGGATTGTATTACCTAGGCAAGCAAGACCGTGTACGATGCATGTTTTGCTCCAAGGAATTTGATTATTGGCAACGTGGTGATGATCCGCTTGTAGAGCATAAACGTAAATCTCCACAATGTCCATTTTTTAAAGAAAATACAGGCAAGTATTAGTTATTACATACAACTGGTTATAATAAATATTTTTAATCAAGTTGAGATCTTATAAAATTTAAAGATCTTTCTAAAAAATGATGTTCTCCGATTTTACTTTTTGATCTGAAAACTTTGTTATTTATGAATTACACATTATATGGGTTATTAACTATGACTTATTACATATCATTCTTAATTATTAGTTTATGGGAGTAATAAAAATAATTAATTATAACACATTTTTCTTTATAGGATATGATGTTTGTGGTTTATACGGATCTCCACCTTCCGACAAGAGTTCTAATGAAGAAGCAAAAAAGATTCAGAATTTTTTGGATTCTTTGGGAGTAGTACAGCAAATAAAGACTCCTAAACATAAAGAATATGCTACTTATGACGCACGCCTGGCAACATTTGATAAGTGTGAGAAAAAGATGAAACAAGAAACTCATACTCTATGTGAAGCCGGCTTCTTTTATATAGGTAATTATAGATTTTTTTTTTATCAACTGTCGTAATTTAATGATACATTTTATCTCTATTGTTTTTGTATAGGTGATGGTCAGAATGACCAAATGTTATGTTTCTGCTGTAGTCAAGGTCTTAAGGACTGGGAGGATGACGACGAACCATGGACAGAACATGCACGATGGTCCCCAAATTGTAGTTATGTGCTACTAAGTAAAGGCAAAAATTTTGTAGATGAAGCTTGCGGTAAAAAAAAAGAAATTCCTACGATAGATAAAGAAGTTAGTATTTTATCAGTTATTTCGTATTATGTACAAGTAACTTATTTTAAAATAATTTTACAGGAATTGACCAAGTTTATTGCCAATCATAAAGATAATTCGATTCTCGAAAGTAATATTAAAGTCAGTTCTACTAAAAGGTGAGTTCCACATTTAAACTACAACGTAGTAATATAGTATGAAATATAGAATTTTTATTTTTCATTATTTTACAAGATCCATTTTTTAACATTAAATATTACAATTTAAGTCAAAATAAAAGGTCAAATACCTATTTTAATTTGTTAAATTTCTGTTTTATCAAAAACTAAGTATTCATTATCTACAAGTCTCACGAGTTCATAATTTTTTTTTTTTTTAATCAGGTGTCACATCATCTTTCAACGTCACAATCTGAGGTATTTTACCTTGAATACAATATGTACAACATCACTTTAGTTTATATTGCCAATTATAATTTAGATCAATTTCACAATTCTGGATTTACATTTTTTCTTCAATTTTTATATACAGAATTTTCATTTGAACGCACGTCCCAGTCATTTAACATGTTCACACATTTAATCAATATTTTAAACTGTAGATCACATTCATTTCACCACAAAGCACAATTAACAATAACTTGTTTAATGTTTGAACTATTTATTTATGTGTTTAGAAAACGTGTTGATCATCCTGAAACCACAGACAGCAATCAAATGACTGCATCATTGTCTGAAATCAATCTACGCCTATCCCAGCAAGACCCGAACACTATGCCTGATTCAATGTTGTGCAAGATATGTTTTAAAGAAAAAATGAAAGTGGCGTTCATCCCTTGCGGTCATGTTATCGCTTGCATACAATGTGCAATGACTCTTGACCAGTGTGCTGTGTGCAGGCAACCATTTACAATGGCTATGAGAGTTTATGTGTATATGGATGAAAATAAAAACGAAGAAAAAGATGAAGATCTTAATCAGTTACCATGCAGTTCTTCCCAGTGTTCTGATGATCCAGTTGATCCAATGTTGTGTAGAGTGTGTCATAAAGAAGAGATGGAAGCTGCATTTATACCTTGCAGACACGTTTACGCATGTGTAGAATGTGCGACGAAGATGTCTGAATGTCCCGTGTGTTTATTACCGTTCTATGCCACTATGCAAGTGTACTTATAGGGATCATAGAATCACTGAGTAACTCGGTGAATACCAAAGATTTATACATACGATGACAATAGTTAAGTAAAGTAAAATTGAATGTTGCTAAACGTCCTATTAATTATTTTTAATCTAGTTTTAAATGTGACACAGTTATTTTAAACTTAACACGTCTAGGATCATGATTTAACATAAAAGTTGTTGATAAAAATGATCATAAAACAAATATTTTATATTTTCTTGATCTTTCATTTTTTTTTTTGTATCGAGCTCTTCATACACAGCAGCAGTTTTCAGTTTTATTATGACTTACTTGATTTTATTTAAATAAGATTGCGTTTTAAGTAAGTTAAAATCAATTTCATTCCAAATGCATTTTTAAATTAATATTGGCGATGTTTTCATGGTTTTGTTTTTTGAATTGGTTATTAATTTATTTTTATTGTACATAATATAATTTTAGTGTGAAACCATTCTAGTCGTAAATTATGTAGTTGGTATAATATATATATTTTAAAGTCAGTAATGCCTAAATTTTAAACAGCACTGTAGTGGGTCTCCATTTAGGATTGCTTACATTGTATTGTTGGTGTTTTAAATCAACAATTCATTAGATTCTTAGCGTACGATTAATGAGACTGATTTCTTAAGGACCCATATTTTTATTGTGCGATTATTGTTATTTAGAGGTATACACCTTTTAGAGACACTACAAGTTATTTTTATACATTAATTTGATTCTTATATATTTATTTTGCACTCTGGTCTCTGGATAATATTATAGCTCTTAAGAATATAATCTATTTCCATGTAATGATGTTTTTGTAAATACACATTGTTTCCCTCTTGATTTCTGTTATAAATAATTGAGTGATACAGAATAAGAAGAAATAAAAACTACTCATTTTAAAATTACATAACAAGTGTTTATTTTTTTTATTTTTAATTACAAAAAGTGTTATTTTTATACATTTGATGATTATGGGCAAGTTATCATTCTCTCCATCTGTTTCCGCAACTACAGCATTTATAGAAAACCGTCATTGGCTCGTCTGCAGATCGAGTCTGAACTTGAAGAAAGTATGCACGGCCATGATTACACACGGTACAAACAACATCGATGGAATCGACATTTTCCCAAGCTGCTTTACCACCCAAAACTGAGTCAATTTCCTAATAATAATAAACGTTAAAATTTAATAAATTACTAAGAAACTACTTTTTTGAAATATTAAAAAAAGTATACAATATTTTTTATAGTAATTATCTATGTACAAGTCATTATATTGAACTGGCCACTATCCTGGTGCAGAAGGCAGCAGAACGCCAACAAATCATTCCCAAATCACATTCTTGCTTTTTATCGAGCAAGTTGTAAATCACCATAATAAGGTTGTGACAAAAAAGTGGATGCAATATTATTCTTAATAGACAATGAGCACACTTGCCCATCTAGACCTACCATTAAGAGGACGCTAGATGATTTATTTATTTATTTAGGCAGTTTGGCAGAAGTAGACAAGCAAATTTTAAAACCCCATCAAATATGTTATTGGAAAAAAATATTCAAAGCTGATCGATATCATTAGTAATAAGTATGATGTTTGTTGTTAAACTAAAATTTTCATTAATTTGATTATATAAATAAATAAAAAGAAGGTTAGTTAAGGAAATATAATGTCAGCACTTAAATACAATATTTCAAATAAAATAATAACACATTTTAATTGGAACTGAAAGTTTTAATAAGATGTCAATAAATTATATTTAATACACTTAAAATTGCAATTACCTTTGACTCATTCTAAATGAATGGGGCATTAACACTGCTCTTTTGTCTTTAATAAGAGAAAGCATCATTTAAAGAGTATAATATCTAACTTCCTTAACAAATAATTTTTCTAACAAGAAAAATAATTTTTTCCTTTTTAAAAAAAAAAAAATTGCTTGAATGACATTTAATTTGACTTTTCTGATTAAATTCAGCAAGAATATTTATTTTCAGGTTTTTTTTCAAACAATTTTTTCATGTTATAAAATTCCTTTCCTATTTTTTGAATAATTCTAGTTTTTTCTTTGAATAATCATTTCGTTCATTAATTTTGAGAAGGTGAAGTCTAGGACCCAGATATTTTTTCAATTTGCACTACTGGATTGTATTTTGGAAAATACATACAGATAATCAATGATATAAGCACATTAACTTCACCTGCTATAATGCAGTTACCGGAAGGGTTTATTTGTACCTGATATTAGAATATACAGAGTATCCAGATATTTCCATAAGCCTAATCCCTAATGGTATTTGCGTAATTTGAGGGATGCAATAGTGTGCACTTGCAATTATTGAAAATAGAACATAATAATATGATGAATAAACAGTGCTCAAATTGGAAGGGGGGTAACTGAGTATTCCAACTATTTTTTCTGAAATTTAAGTGCACCTCTACTAATTTTAAAAAGGGGTAAAAGAAATGCCAGCTACACTCTTTTTTTTGTAATGTAGAAATTTTCCCCTACGTTTATTTTTCCAATTTGAACATTACTAACCTTTTTTAGATATATTCATTTTTCGTCAACGCTACACATTGGTTTTGTGTACGGAAAAACTTAGCAAGAGTTTGGTATGTCTATGGTGTACAAACCATGGTTTAGTTTATTTGAGGGTTGGTTATCTTTAAAATGATTTTTTCTATTTATAATAATTTTTATCGTTATTATGTTTTCGTTTGTACAAACTGCACTGTATACATTTTATTAGGGTTTTGTATGTTCGGAAACTTTCGTATGGTGTTCGAAATGTATCCCATACACCAATCATTAGTAGGTAATATGATCATTTATTATCTGACTTCTACAATGTAATATAATCATCAATTATGTAAATAGATAGTATAAATTACAATGCATGTCCTTACCTTTAGTTTGTAGAATGATCGAGATGCCAAGATGACATTTTTAATTGGTGAGAAGTAGGGACATACTTGACATTTGTGTCGCATCTCACCCATGTGTTCTTCTAAAGATAGTATATTGGAGCAGTTAGGACAAAAGTCCATATAAAAAACACTACTTTCATTAACTACTTTGCTGCCCATTTAAAAAAAATAAAAATTTATGTAATTAAAAATACCAAAAACTATTGTTTGAATAATTATGGTAGGTGGAGTGTTATTTTAAAATAAAATCTTTTAATTTGACTATTATTAAAGTTAAAACTTTTAACTTTGCCTAATATCGATTGACAGGATAGCTGAAAAGGTAGTCAAAAACAAATAAAATAAAAACCTGATAAAAGATAACAATACAGCTAAGACGGATCAAACATAGACGTGAACACAGAAGAAGTTAGACATATTCTAATGTAATACATATTTTACAGTGTATTTATATATATATGGAAATATCACAATAAAAAACTATATAATACCTATATAATTATTTCTTACTCAAAATATTTATTAGTGATTACTAATTTAAAAACAAAATCTCAAAAAATGGAGAAAAATTCAAATTTCCCACAAAATATTGATTGCATAGACCTATAAAGATATGGACTGCGCCTCCCACACACCCCGCCTATTCTGCCGCGTTATGAACAACGTTAGAAAGAGAGATAGTTGTTAGGTTGACCATGGAATAAAAATTGAAAAGACATGGAATAATAATAATTTAAATATATATATATGACAATATACCAAATGGAAATATATAATAATTAAATCTTATTTAATTATTATTTATTATTGTGTTATGCGAAGTTGTAAAACATTTAAGGATATATATTTCATTATTTTGTCGGGTATCCAATACTTTCGTATGATGTAATGTTTTAAATAGATATGTATATAGTATATCGTTAATAAATACTTAAAAACCATTACAATTTCATTCAAATTTTATCAATGAACATTCTGTTTTACTTTTTATAAAACGTGTAAGTATGTTTGGAAAAATAGTTTTTCTTTACAAACTCAATAGACAATTTATTGTATCACAGATCTGCATCTACGTTTAAACAAATTCACTAGGTATTGTAAAATTACTACTTATTTGTTTCTTTTTCAAGTTACGACCAATATAATATAATAAATATAAAAAAAAAATCACAAAGTTTAATAATAATACAAAAAATAATAATTGGTAATAATAATAATAAAAAGTTTTTCAGCCGAGTCTGCAACCACGAAAGAGCATTTTCATGTCTCGTTGAAGTACCGAATAAATTTAGAGTAGTGGTGTAATTATAATTAAAAAAAAAAATTACATGGAGCTGCCAGTTACAGCATAAGCCAAGGAGATTAAAAAGTTATGTACAATCATGTTTCTGGCTAAAATTGTAGTGTTTATTATCTGGCCAAAAATAACAACATAGAGAATTAAACTATTTTGAATTTGTCATTTAGTTCTAATTTGAACGTTGAACGTACGACATATCTCTTATCTCATATCAGAAAACAGCGTAACAGATTAACATTCGAAATGGATCCCTTTGGTACCTTTGGGCGCGTAACAGCGTAACGCTTTTTTTGGTAACACTTTTTTTCGGTTATTTACCGGCTAAATCTCACCCTTATCTCCTACCCCCTATTCCACCCCTATCTCCCGTCCCCAACCCTTTCGCTTTTTTCATTACGCCTTTTTCGTTACGCTCTTTTGGTAACGCTTTTTTCGGATATTTGCCAGGGTTATGTGCTAGAGCTAAGACATGAAAATGTCAAAAAAACGCGAAGTTTAATAATTATACAAAAAAAAATAATAATAGGTAATAATAATAAAAAAATATAAAAAAAGGAACAATACATTTTACTGATTTTTGAAGTGAACCTAACTACTCTCTCTGTCTCTTTTTAACGATGTCGATATTCGGACCTCGCTCTCTACTATCAGTCCATTTCTTTATAGGTCTATGGTCTAATCATTCGTCATTGCATAGTATTTTGGGCGACACGCCACGCTTGCAACACTCTTCCAGGCAGCTCCCTCTGCCGACCATTACGATTGGCCGTTCGCCCTGGTTGCCTTTGCCATAGTACGTCAACTCTACTATAGCAGCGGAGCCACGCACGTTGTCGATGCCGCTTAGAGAATTCCGATTTCCGGTCATTTTTTCGATTCCATCCATCTTTCGTCTCGTACGCTCACCTATATCGACGCGTACAATAGACGTTATTAAAACTTTAAAACTTTTAGACTAGTGCACCTTAAAGTCACAACAGCACAGCCTGTCCATTGCCAGCTGAGCGAAATGAATGGGCTTCACGAAGTCCATCTGCATGTCTCCGACCCACCGTGTAAGGTTTTGTGCTTCGGCAGCCACCTTGCCTCGATTCTACTCGGTCTGGCAGGCTGTGGCACTGTGGTTACGGACGCATAACCCCTCCCAGCATTCGTCACACTTGGGACCTTGCCAGGCAGTCAAATAAGTCAATAAGTTTCTAAATTATTTACTTGACTTTTCACGCCATATTTTATAGATGTATTTTTAACCTAAGTAAAAAAGGCTTCTCTTATTTATTTTTTTATATCAAATCTATCACAAGGTGTGAATTATTAATAATATTGGTAATATTTTTTTTGTGCTCACCAAACAAAATTGAGTAACAACAAAAAACTAAAAAATGTAATTGTTTGTTTTGTTTGAAAAAAATTGGTTTTAAAAATCATAGACGTAATATGTAATTGTTCCTATTTTTCAACATTTCCATTGCCTTTCTAATGTTAAGTTCTTCGGAATTATTTTCATTTTTAAGTAATTTTACCGATTTTATACTATGATTTAGTATCTACTATCCAATATAATATAACTCATGTTTTTCTTTATAGGTCTATGATTGATTTCGACGATCATGATTATAGATAATAAACCTTGGTAAGATTTTTACCACGTGACTATGTTGGCAGACTTTTCGGAAATTCGGTTGGTCACTCTTACGAGGGTTGACAGCGAGGCGCAAGCGCTCTCCGACGGCCGGCGATGCCGGAACACTGACGCCATTTTCCATCGTTTGCCGACTGATGGCTTACGACAAAAATTTCGTTTCCGAAAATCGACATTTCACGTTTACATGTTGATATAAATTTAATTTTTACCATTTGGCGTTTAACCCGATCGAAATATTCGCATTGACCAATTCTCTGACCGGACTTGGTGTGTTTTGCACTTTGATTTGTTTCGTGTGATGTGCTGATCGCCATCGTCGAAGCACGCGTATCGATTGCCGCACTAATGGCTGCGAACAACTATTTCGGTTTCACGCACAACGGCACCCAGTACGCGTAAGTAATACATTATTTTATTATTATTTATAATATTACAGTCAATGTTAGCTTCAACACGTTCCTCTCGTTGTACTAGGTTTAATGCGACAATATTAACCGTTACGGTGTAGAACGGTTTTGCACCGTCGGCGTGTTTGATAATAATTTTGTTTCCATGTTATTTTTCATTCGAGGTCACACGGCTCGAGGTTAAAATTTGTCTTATTTTGAAAATCTCTTAAATCGACACGTGACTTATGGTCTTGACCACTACAATGTATACAGATATGACGTGTATCGATTAAAACGTGGGCGAGTGCGTAGCGTATCTACTTGTCGACAAATTCGTACGCCCTTATTTAATAAGGGATTATGCGTAGGCAATTTTTTTCGACATATACGCCGTTGGTTTGTACTTGTGAATAGATAAAATTTAACGAAGTATTTTCGAATAGAGTTAAAATTTTTTATACCTAAGAAATTCTCAGAAATTGTATAAATGAGAGACTGATATGCTACCGGCTACGGTAGCCCAAATTAGCTTCTACGGGGCTCTTGTTCATAGAGCTCATGGGAGTTCATGTCCTCAAACCAAAACCAACAAGAGGAAAAATTAGCTTAACTTTAAAAAGCTAACCCGATACTCTGCTCTACAAGCAGCCACTTTTCTGACAAATCCAATCTGAGCCTACCCTTCAAAAATAAAATAAAAACTTATTGGAGCTTACCTTGTACTATTACTGTGGCGGTCATTGTCCTAATAAGTTTAAATTGGTCTAACCAACAATGAGAATTATAAATATTAACGAAATTAAGTTTTATGACTGTATATTGTGTGGCACAAATAAAAAAAAACAATAGCGGGGGAAAGAGGAACAGTTGGCACACGTGCACATAACGGCTTGTTAAGTAGCTTTTTGACTTTAACTTTAAAACTAAACGTGACCAAAAAATTTGAACACACTAAATATAAGTTAGATGCATGAGCAGTGTTAGAGCAGGTATGCGCGTTTATTGTAATTAGTGTAGGGGACGCCTTTGTATTGCGTGTCAAGAAGTGTTGGGCACTTGTTCTTTCAGCCCAGCCGCCTTATTAATTTTAATTTTATATATCGTAGGTTTACAATGTACAGATTACAGGGCTTGTCACGTGATTATTATAAAGTGGGATGAGTGCATCATTACTTACTATATTATGTTAATAGGTTTTTTTTTTTTAAATTATGTAGACATTTTAATATTAGTAATTAATATTATTAACTTAATGATTTTAGTTCTGCCACTGGTTATCAAGCTCCTCCTCAAGCAGGTTATGCAGTCCCTCCTGCTACTTACACAACACCGCGTGCTGCTGCAACCGCATATGATGTAGCATCCTATCAAACAGCTGCAGCTACGCAATCTGCTTATGGTAAGATTTTTAAGAATAATTTTTTTTTATGGATAATTAAATTGAATAAATATATTGAGTACAAAGTTTTACCTACATTCTATTTATTTGGTCATCATATTGATCATTACATGATTTTTATATCATATACTTCTAAGTTTTAATGTGTATTATACACTTTCTTTTAGCTAAAGCTGCTTATAACAATGCTGCCTATGATACCAGACAAAATACGTATGCACAACAACAAACCTATCAAACTCAACCTCAGTATGCTCCGTATCAAGTTAGTAGTATTTTCTAAACAATGATACTTATTAAATTTTTATCTTTTAACTGGTGAAATAATTTTGGCTTTTTGTTCACTCGAAACCGTACAGTACATTTTAATTTACGAACAATTTTTTGAAAAAAAAAAAAAAAAAAATTATAAAATTTTCTATGGAAATGACTGTGATTGTCTGTCAGAAGAATTAACTAACAAAGAATCCTCATTACTGTATTAACAAGTAGTATACCTACGCCATTTGTCAGTCTCTTTGATTATGAATTATTATTAAATATATATAATAAAACTAAAAAAATTCAATTTCTAATTATAATTTATTTTGGGCACATGTTATTGTTTTTAGAGCTTATTCTATGGGTTTAAAGAGCATATATCACTTGACACAGTATTCAGTCATGAACTTCGATTATTACATTTTGAAGTTATGCATGTCAGTTTATGAAATGTCCAATTATTTAAATGTCAGTAGATGGGTTGAACACAATGACAAAACTATGTTCAGTTATAATGATTTATAATATGGTTTTAAATTTTCTGTAAATTCTTAATAAAAACTTCCAAGTCCCAATTTTAATATCTGGAGTAGTTATTATATTAATGCTGAATAAGTGTATAAGTGTTTTAAAAGTGTTAATGCATTTTGTTAGAATTCCATGTATAAATGTGGCTGGTCCTGTAGTGGTATAGTAGTATGATATTGAACTAGATACTAGAGTTATTGTTTTTAATTCCCAGAAAAAAAAGCTATGCAATAAATCAAATAAACTAATCTAAAAATATATGTACGTACCCAAGGATATGCTCATAAAAATAAATAATAAGTTGACGATTTTTGTTTTTATTATAAAAATTTAAATATTTATTATTTTATTTATTTGATGTGTGGAACCTATCTATACAATATAAATTAAAAGTTTTAGAAACATTATAGTAATCAAATCGTTTTATTTATTTAGCAATTGGTTTAATATGATGAAATAAATTATGTATGAACAAAGTGATTTATAAAATGGCTTAATCTTTTCTGAAAAATCAATTTAAAATAGTTTCGAAACAATATTTTAAATAGTTATTACTTTTATGCTGGTTGTTTAATAGTTTGTTAATGCATAAATGCTTTTTGTTATGTTTCAATTGGCTGCTAATTTTTTATTTTATTGAAACAAAATTTGGGAATTTTTAAGTTTCAGATACCTTATTAACTATATTAAAAAATGGGTTTAATATGATGAAATAAATTATGTATGAACTAAGTGATTCATAAAATGGCTTAATCTTTTCTGAAAAATTAAAAAAAAATTGCCTCTAAATCTATATTTTAAATATTTTATACTTTTTTGCTGGTTTGTATAAAAGTTCATTAAGAGATAAATGCATTTTGTTATGTTTCAAGCTAATTTGTTATTTTATTGATTTGGCGCGAAACATAGCATTTGGGTAATTTTTAAGTTTCAGAAACCTTTTTAACTATTTAGAAATGGGTTCAATATGATGAAATCAATGATGTATGAATAAAGTGATTCATAAAATGGCTTAATCTTTTCTGAAAATATGCCCAGATTAATTTACAGTATCAGTTTTTTAAGAAATGTAATTATAAAGAATTGGTTTCTCCAAACATATACTACATCATTATAAATAAAATAAAATAAGTTATTTATATTATTTAATAGCTATTTAATATTTTTGTAATTTTTTATAAAATATTAAGTAATTATTGTGTAATTTTATGCGTGAAATGTTTTACTATACACTTAACTAACTGGTCAAATATTTCATTAGGCTGTTACATCATACACTACCGGAGTAGTTGCCAAGAAACAATGTCAAGCAAATGCAGCTGCATATGCTACAAGTTCAGCTATGCAACAAAAAGTCACATATCCGATACAGCAACAGTCGGTTGCTTCGACGCCTAACCAATCGGCTAACAAAGGTATATAATATTAAATAAATATTTTTTTTTGTAATTATATTTGATTAATTTTTGGTGAATGTCTTTTCACAGCAGCTTCTGCTCCTGGATATGAGGCTGCAGTATATTCAAATACTAATTTTCCGACTCAAAATCAAAATCAAGTACGCCCTAATAACGCACAAAAAAGGCAAAACTGGTTCAAGAAAAACACTTCTGGTTTTGCTGGTGGTGCAAAAGGCGGAAATAGGGTAAATTTTGCAAACAGATCTCAAGAAATTCATTACTGTGAAGTGTGTCGCATTAGCTGTGCTGGAACTCAGGTAAATTATTATAATAAATCGGTCGAACTAGTGTAGTATGTATTTTATAATAAGTTATTTTTGATTCTAGACCTACAAAGAACATCTTGATGGTCAAAAACATAAAAAGCGCGAAGCTAATGCCAAAATATCTACCACCCCAAGTAAACCATCTAATAACCCTGCAACTAAAGTATTCCATTGTGATCTCTGTGACGTTTCTTGCACTGGTGCTGATTCATATGCAGCTCATTTGAGAGGTTCTAAACATCAAAAAGTAAATTGCTCATTGTATAATAACATAATGAACAATCATTCTATACTCTGTTCCACGAGTGCACACGGCTAGGGTTAACGAAAAATCTGTCAAAATTATTCAACTCTTATGCAAAAATATGAGTTAGAGACCCAATAACCGTATATCATATTGTAGCTAGTAAATTCCCTAGTAATGAAATATCATGCTGTGTAAACTTAACATGGAAGGTTAGCCACCTAATCTCATACTAAATAATTGGGACTGGTCGTTCTGTGGTTGGGCAATTGTATAAGTGCTATGATGATATAATGCTAACCCAGCTCTCTGAAATGAATGTCGAGTAATATAATCTGAGCCATTTTTAATTATTAGAATAGTAAAATGTTTTAATGATAGTTAAACATTAATTATTAAATATTATTATCATTTATTAAAAGATTGTGTAATATAACAGTTATAATAGAAACCCAACTTTGAACTTTGATTGTTGATCTTTATGATGATACAATTTTGCTTAACCCAGCTCTCTGAAAATACTGTGGAGAAGACTATCTGAAAGATAAATAGAAGTGCTAATTAGTAAATTTTAATGTAGCAATGAAGTAATTAACCATCCAGCTAGCGCGCTGTTGGAAAAAGTACATTTAACTGCTTATGAAATGCTTATCCAAAAGTTGGAATGTTAAGTACTCTTATTATGTATAGATAAGTAAAATACATAAGCATTTCTAAATCATACTTACAGGAGTCGATTAAAGCGTTTTAACCAAATGATCATTATTCATTAATGTAATTTTAGTATACTGAATTCAGATGATGACATAATTTAGCTTAACCCAGCTCTCTGAAAACAATCTGTTGAGATTATAGTCTGAGAATGATAGGTTTTATTATTCCAATTGTTGTTTGTACACATTTTCTTAAAAATTCAGTTTGTATTTTTTATAAAAATAATATACATCATTGTGTAAATATTACTAGATGTTAAAAATACTATACCCAGCTCTCTGAATTGAATGTCAGTATTTTGATCTTTATGATGATATCATTTTTCTTTACCCAGCTCTCTGAAAATATTGTGGAAAAATCTATCTGAAAGATTAATTATAACTACTTAATTATTAATAGAAAAATAATTTATCACATTTTATTCTATAAGTGTAATTTTAAGTTACAAATAAGTTTAGGAACAAAATACACAATGTTCTTAACTTAAAATTTCTAAAATGAAATAGTGTTTAATTATTTTAATTAATAAAAAGTGACAATACGTTTTTGGCTGTAAAATATTCCCGACAAAATTCAACTACACCCAGCTCTCTGAAAACAATTTGTTTAGATAAAATAGTCTGACAACTTAATACTTCTCGTTCTTATCTATTTGTACTACTTTCATTCTTACTGAATTAAATGATTCAAGTATATTTTATTATTATATTTTGTAATATGTATTTACTTGTGTAACTATTTCATGCAACACGATAATTCTATACTTAGTTTTTAATTTTTTTTTTCTTGTAGGTTTATAATTTACATACAAAACTTGGTAAACCAATTCCTCCTCCGAATATTGACACAGCGGTTGTTTCCAAAACTTCGGCACCTAAAGTGAATTTCATTCCTGGTTAGTATTGTCGTTTAAGTAATTGGAATACATTTATTTTGAATGCAATTTTTTTTTTGTAATTTTTAGCTGGAAAATTAGGGACAGTAGTTAAGAATGAAAATAATGCAGTAACTCCTTCTACCCCTGTTAAAATAGAGACCAAAACTGCCGCTCCAGCAATAACTCCTACTGTCACTACTAATGAAACTGACGTAATATTAGTTGGCATGGAGTATATAGAAGAGATTAAAGATGAAGCCGGTAAGATTTAATTTGAAATTACATTCTTAAGTTGTGACTAATATGCATATGTGATGTCTGTATATTTTGAAAATTATATTTAACTTTTTACTATTATAGGCAAAATGGTGAGTTTCAACTGTAAACTCTGTGAATGCAAGTTCAATGATCCAAATGCAAAAGAAATGCATATGAAAGGTAGAAGACATAGATTATCTTACAAGAAAAAAGTTGATCCTAGTTTAATAGTCGAGCTAAAACCGAGTTGGTTTGAAGCTCGTAGAATGCAAAAAGACAAGCATGGTCAAGAGGGAAATAGAGTGAGAGATGAAAGGTAAACGCTTGTTTGTTTACTGCTTTGTTTAATAATTAGTTGTAGACATCCAAACTCCGAGGAGTTTAAACAGTTTAATTTTATTTTAAATTTAGTAAAATAAAAAATTAATTAATCAATAAATAAAAATACAATTTGTGATGATTTATATAGATGACGAGTCTGAATGGAGTTTAGAGTACTGAAAAACAAGTTATTTGTTTCTTATGGCCTAAACTTCTGTTATTTGAAGTCATATTATTACTGATTAAAAACATAAAGATACATTAACGAGTTATTTATTTTAAGAAAATATATTTATTCGATGATGATAGTGATACTTAGATGACGAGTCTGAAAAATTGAAGCATTAAACCCAATAAAACATGTTTTTTGTTCTAGATGGGTTTTTGCTTCAGTTCGTTGAAGACTCAATTACACTGATATTAATTACTTAATAACATTTTATTTACTATAATGTTCTGCATGTATTATTTACATAAAATGTTAAAACTATTTTATTTTATGGTTTTATTAGATCTAACTTTTGGGTTGACCGATTTATGGAGATGGATGATAGATATTCATGGGATGATCGAAGACGTTACCAAGAAGAAGTTGAATACTACGATTGGTGTAGATCTGTTGGTCCGAGAGGAATGGGTATGGGTCCACCACCATTATTTGGACCTCCTGCATTGATGGGTGCTCGTCCACCACCGCCTCATATGGTATGAACTATTTTGACGTACTATTTACTCAATAATTATTATATTTTCTATTAAATTATCATTAGATGAAGTTTGGCCTTGGTGTAAGACCACCCCAGATGCACAACTCCATGCGTCGTTACGATACTGTCGATGATAAGCATATTATGGCCAAACATTCCAGTCTTTTCCCCAAACAAACTTCTTTAAAAACATTACAGAAAGCCGTTTCAGACACTGAAAAAGCATTAAAACTCGTAGCTGAAGATTTAATGAACACTGGTTAGTATTATCTATTCAATAATGTAGTTTAAAAATTCCCAAGAAAATTCTACTTGTTAAATCTCTTTTTATTGAAAAATCAATTAAAAATGAAATATCATAACTTACTAAATTTTTATAGTAAGTAATAAATCTAAACATTGTTAATAATAATTTTGATTGTTCAGTTAAACTGAAAGAAATAGCCCATTATGTGGTCTTTAAATATGAATTAATAAGATTCGTCTAAAGGGCTATGTAAGGGGTATTGGTTACATTAAAAATGAGCCTAGCCCCTTTCTAGCTACTTCTTCAGTTTATATGTCTTACATTTGCTAAAGTTGCTAAAGTAAAATTATACCTTCAGTTCCAGAAATCAAGGTGGAAGCACTAGTTACTGAACCTTCTGAAACAGCAAAAGAATTGCAAACAAAGAAAACTCCTTCAAAGGAAGATGGTCGTGATGGATCAATGTAAGAGTTTTATTTTTAATAATATAATACAGGCCAAGGCCCAGTAACATAAGAAATGTGTACAGTAAATAGTAGAATGTATGCATAATAATAATAAATAGAAAATGATAAAAGTATCGAAAATGGAATGCTCAATGGAAACTAAGCTTATTTTAAAGAGAGAAAAAAGAGTCAGTATTGACAATGCGCATAAGACGGATGTTTTGGGAGTTCAAATAGTAGTTTGAAGAAGTGAAAGGGATATGAATAGGGGCAGATGAACGTATGCGGTGGCAGGGGACATTGAAGGAAACTCTGGATAGAGAATCAGGGCAGTCAATTTTAGGGAAAAGTAGATTAGTTAGGAATGATATGTTAGCTGCGTGTCGGCGATCAGCGAGAGCAAGAGTTGTTGTTATTAGAGTAAACAAATAATTGTTCATAGTCGTTAATTTATTGTGATTTATTCTTTAAAAAGGTTTACGTTCACTAACGAGAAAGATGATACTAAAGTTGTAAAAATGATGACTGGTTCCATGCGTGTGGGTGCACTTTCAAAAGGATTACTATTAGTAAACGAAAACGAAGTTGATATAGTTATAATATGTTCAACACCACCAACTTTATCTATGTTAAACTCTATTGTTACTATTTTACCAGAAAAGTTAAAGGTAATTATTTAGACTTAATTTTAATGAAGTAATTATTTATTAGTTCCTAAATATTAAACTTTTATATCCTTAAACATGATATAATTTTATTTTTAGGTGGTTGCTAAAGACGATAATTATGTAGTTAATAAATATGAGGCAGAAGCCAGACTCGCAGTCGAAATACTGCTGGAAGAGGAAAAATTTGTCGTAAATGTCGCCTTTACATCACCATCAGTAAGAGAAGCTATTTTAAATGCAGCTGAAGGAGGTGAGTGGTTCAACGTAAAAAAAATATTTTGGTGTACTTGTAAATGTTATTGAAAGCCTAAATGATAATATTATAGTATAAAAAAGGTAAATTTTAAGGTATAATGGCCTATTATAGGATTGATTGATGAGTACACTCTCCAACTGAAAATAGAATTATAGCAGTTTAATAAAAAAAAAAAAAACCATTAACTTATAATTATTAAAATAGTTAAAAAAATAAGGGTTTTTGACCATGAAGATTAGAATGCAGTGCTCATAATTGTAATGGTCCATTAATAATGCATTTTATTTAAGTAACAGTTTATGATATAATGTCCATTATTAGTCTTAAAAACTTTTAAATGGTTTTGAAATAATTAAAAGGGTAATGTATAATATATCATTTACATTGACATTGCAAATGAGAAACTTGAGCTTTCACAATTTTTGTTATTTTTTTAAAGACATTAACATTATTTACTGTAAAATTGTTTTACAGTAAATGATACGTGAGATGTCAAAATTTGTATTTTAACGAGCCGAAGCCTTTTGTGTAAGTGCATTGTACTTTGCACATATTTAATAAAAACTAAATCATACAGTTGTTAAACGGTTATTGTTGCATTTAAGTCATGTATAATGTTTATATAATACTCTTACATTTTGTTATGAATTATATTTATATAATATGATATGATATTATTTTGTTTAATGGTCAAACACTCTTTGGGAAATAATATACTGAACACATTTTTGTTTGTTTGTTTGTTTGGGGTTTTTATTGTAGAAAGCGAACATACGGAACCAGTGGCCATTGTGCCTGGCGAACACGTTTTGGACAAGACAAAATGTTTGGAAGCATTGGCTGCCATCAGGCACGCCAAATGGTTTCAGGTTTGCCTATTTATTTATTACTTTCCAGCTTAGCGACCAGTTGGTCATATTAGCCATAAGCCAATATGACATATATATATTTTTTTTTTAGATTTAAAAAAATAACTATATTTTTGTTTTATATGGTAGACCATAGTTGTATTGTGTGTATAATTTTACCATACAATCAAATTTACTAAATTGTTTATACTTGAAAAGTACACTGCTGTATAATCGTGTGCTTTGCGGGGCACCTGTATGAAAATAATTATTGATGATAGGGTGGTGTCCCTACGATGCACGAATGTACAAAGGAGATGGATGTGTGCGTGTGTGCATGCGAATGTGTGATAATTGTTTTACTAATATTGAATATTATGAAGGTAATATTTATTGAAGCTATGGGCGGCGTAAACGATATTTTTTTAAACCGATTTCTTAACTTCATATAAACTTGTATTGAATTCTTTGTTATCATTGATTATTGTATTATGTAATCATAATTTTTTGTTTGAATAATCAAATTATTAGAAGAAATAAAGGCGAATTGAGATAATTAAGCACACATCCTTGGTAATTCGGTATAAACCATTCATTTTATTTTTTTCTCATTAAATTTGTGTGAAATTTTAAGCAACCGAATATACTATAAGGCTGGAAAGTACAAAAAATATGCATATACTTGCAGTTGTGTATCTGTTAGATTTTGTTCTCTTATCATTTTATTAAGAATAATATTTATATATTTAAGTTTGATGAAATTAAGTAATCTAAGAGATGAGGCAGTTTGATAGTATTTTAATTACACATTTATGATTTTTAAAACATTTAAATACTCAAGTTTTTTTTATAAACTGCTCATTTCATTATTATCGTCATAATCCAAATTTAAATGTAATCCATACATTGTTAATGTTTGCAGGCTAAATTGGCTTCTATACCTAACGGTCCATTGATCATACGTATTTTAAAAGATTTTATTATGCGAGAACCTACGTGGCACCCATTTACATTATGGGTAAGTACAATATAAAATTGTCTAAGATTTTTTTAAAAGAGCAACTGCTCACAGGTCAATAATAGAGCTACTCAACTAAATCTTCTTTTCAATTCTATATCGATTAACGTTTTTCTTGCCATATAACTTTTTTTCTTGGCTCGTTTACATCTTTTCAAATTACTCGAAACTCACAAGTTTAATCTCTTTACTGTCATATTTTCTACCAAGTTGCTCCATTCTCATGCTCTTCTGATTATTATTATTAATGATTTATGTTCTTAAAAACTGTTTAATTATTGCAAGTCTTAATTATTTTTCAGAAGCTAGAATTGTTTGTTGAGCGTGTTTTAACTAGTGCTTTTGCACCTAATTCTCCAAATTCTGCGGCTGGTTTGAGTCCGGCTGAAGGATTAAAACGTTTCTTTGAAGCTATTGCCAGTGGAGCTTTGTTACCTGGTGTGATAGGAGTACATCTGTTAGACCCATGTGAAAAAGATCCTGTTGACGCATTAGCTTCACTATCTGTGCAACAACGAGAAGATATCACTTTGTCAGCTCAGGTAAAATATTTTGGTGCCAATAGTATATATATTTTTTCATTAACTATACAAAATTGTGATGATATTCTTAACTCAGCTCACTCTGAATGACATTGTCACTGTGTTGTTAACTATTTTGTATCTGATATAAGATCTATTAATATAAATCACTGACAGCACTTAATAACAATTAAGAGTTCAAATAATTTCCATGATGATAGTCTATTTACTAAACCTAGCTCACTCTGATTTGGTTTGATGGAAATATGACGTTTCTGATGAACATTACTCGTCTTTTTAAATGTGTTAACATTTATTTGATTAATAACAAACATTAGTGATAAGATATTTTGTACATTTTTTAATGATGAATTGTCAATTTTAAACCTAGCTCACTCTGATAATTGGTTTGATGTGTTATTGCATTTTCTGAAATAATATTAATAATAACCATTGAAAAATTGTATTGTATCTTTAAAGATACATACATTTTATGTATAACTTTACATGGCCAACCTAAATAGTACTATTATTTTAATTATTTTTGATATTTTAAAATTAGCCCTGGCCAAGTTAAGGTGTAAATATCTATTATCTACTTAATTTTCAAGACTTGCAAATAAGTAGGATTTATATATTTTTTTAAATCTGTTTTAAGCAATCCCCAATGCTTGTTGTTGGTAAGATTAGTTCTATAAAAATAAATTTACTAATTATACGTAATTAAAGTAGTTATGTATAAACTCAAGGAATTTATTTTTGTTGAAATAAATTGATTTTCATAAAAACTATTACATAACTAATTCAAATGACAATATTATCAATTTAGAAAGTTACAAGAAAACTAGAATTATTTTGTAATTAATCCTAATTGTCATTATAATAAAATGTACTTATTATTTACTTGCATTTTCTAGAATATGTTGCGTTTGATTGCATTCCGACAAGTGAACAAAGTACTTGGTATGGAATTGTTACCTATTAAGCAGCAACGAATGTCGACTCGTAAACGTCGCCGTGAAGGATCTATGGGAGAAGGAAACGAAACAGAAGATGGTATGTATTTCAAAACGCTCAAATCAATATTGCGCTACTATTAATTCTCCTTTGTTTAAGTAGGTGAAAATAAGAAAAAAGATAAGAAAGAAGATGATGCCACAAACTCATCTGTTGTAGCAAGTAATGATGACATTGCTGCTGAAGATACAACCAACGGCGAGGTTGCAAATATGGAAACTGAAAAGGTTGAAGCTAAATAGTAGTCTTGCTTGGAAATGAACTAGTCTTGTAAATCCGACAATTCAATTATTTGTAATGGTCGAAGATTTTTATTTTATATTTTGACTTGATAATATTTCTCAGGAATTCGATTTGTCTTCTTTTTCTTAATGTGACTATTAAATTGATAAAAATGTATTGTCGATTTTTTTTTTCACTTTTGCATTTATAAATCTGATGCGTAAAAAAAAAGAATGCAGTTTTGTATTGTATTTCACTATCATTTATTAAATTTTGTTCTTAGTTTTTCATTTTGTTAACTTTTGTTCTTTTTTTATTTATAGTACACTTGCAGTTGGTTGTTTAACCAATATATATATATATATATATTTATATATAAATTACTATTTAAAAAAAAAATGAACACGAGTTTGATATATTTATTTATTTGAATCTTATAAGGGGATATATATAGAGAGATATTAATTATTAGAACCTTGATTTTATTATTATAAAATTATATAATATTTGACATCAATAAATTTGATAAAGTGCAATATAACATTTTTATTTTATTTTAGCAGCAATTTTGTTGTCCGATAACATCATTAATTCTTTATTCAACTTTATTATATATAATAATAATTTAATATTTTTAAGTGACTATGTAAACATAGTGTTTACTGTTTTCCATCAAATGTTGTGTTAAAGGCCTGTTCACTTGTTTAATAAATATGCATTATGTTCAACACTGAAAATCTGTTCTCATAAGAGTAATAGATATTTGACCTATAGTTAAGTACAATGGGGATGGTTCCTGGTTTAAAATTTAATATATGTGTATTATCTAATTTTTTTTTTCAATTTAATTAGATGAATTGCTGCTCTTTAAAACCTTGTTGTTAATATATGATTATTTTTATTTTTACTTGTGAATAGCGTTTTACATTGCTCACACACCACTAACTATACTGTTAAATACTATTGCAATTATTAATGTATTGATGGAGTGAAAGTAACATATTTCAAAACTGTAACACATTTTACGATACATGTATGATTTTGTCAGTTGTATAGAATGTAGTGTTAATTCTGTGTCGCAAGGTTTAAAAAAAAAACTGATTGATTTGTTAACAATTTATTCTGATTTGTCAACAAAGGTAGCGTTCCAAAAGCATATGGAATAGTATAATATTATTTTGTATGTACAGGTAGGTAATATTATTATCTCTTGCGGTCGAAGGCGACTATAGTTGTTCTTAAGTATGTACAAAAAATGTAGGTTTTGACAAGATGATAATTATTTGGGGATCTTAGCACACAGAATCGGTCGTTAACGGATGTTGTTGGTTAACAATGTGTTTACTTGGATTAAAGCAAAACGCGACAATCGAATATAAAGTGGACAAGTTGGTAAAAATTATTTTATGATAATTTATTATACAACAATTATTAACGATCACAGAGTAGACGTCCAGAGTCTGTTGATGAGCGACGGTTGTGAATATCCAAAGTCGACTTAGAGGTGAGGTTCAGCCGATGGCTTTTGCCCAGATAGCTGTCAGCGCTGCCACGGTAACGATGTGCATGTGCTTGGGACAAGCCGAAGACCTTGCCACTTTGTTCTTGGAGCTCTTGCCGATAGGTAAGTCGCCCTGGAGCTCTGCAGCAATAAAAAAACGATTAAATAATATACACATTTGTTTAAAGCCAAATCATATGTATAATCATATGTATCTCAAGGGGCATCTACACTAGCATTGATTAAGGCGCATTGTATAGGCAATTTTCAAACATACATATTATTATTACCTGTTCTGCGAGTGTGTCTATATAACTTTGTTTAAGTTAATTAAATTTGTTATAAAATCATCTTTTTCTCTATACGTAGTATATATATAATATTGATAAATTTTGGTAGTTTGTCTTTAGTATTGCTCTGCAGACAACTGTATTGTTTGAGTGTATACATACATCAATCAAACTGGAAACGACCCCCATCCGGATATTTGATTTTGTCGATAAAACCAAATAGTTATCGAAGGATCAAAACCGTTAAACCCCCCCCCCCCTAAATACAACAAGATGATAATATCGTTCCGGTTAGGTACACACTATTGTATATTGCTATTGAGTTCAAATGGTTTATATGTGCTGTGAAATCAGAAGTAGGTACACAGTACAGACTCTTTGCTGGTTCAAAACTAGAATATGTACCCCAAAAAAATCATAGACCAGTCAACTGTCAAGCTATACGTACTCAAGTTGTGTGCATTACAGATTCGCATCCAAGGTTTTATTTGAAAGTGTTTTTTTTATCACTTTTAGCTGTACTTTAAAGTACAGCTTTTATTTGGGTGCTCTCAAACGGTTTTTGTATAGGTAGTTTTATTTTATTATTGTTTACATCAGCTACTTGTTTATAGCAAACCGTGTACTTTGTATATGCCTTTTGGCGTTTATTGAGAAAATAAAAAAAATACTATTATATTAGTACTCGTAAAAATTATACACTGTCGTCGTGAACAAAATATAATATAAACATATTTTACAATATTGACAACTTGCACTTGGTCTAAGTTGTTATGATAGGCACCTACTTGTAGCAAGGTGTTTCGACTATGAAAGTCACGAGAAATCAATTTTTATTGTATTATTAGATGTATACTGCAACTTGAATATTTTGCATGGGCATGCTTACAATTTGCATCCCCGCATAATGTTGGAAAACATAAAGTCTCTGTCTGTCCACTAATTCGATTTAAATGTTTGTTGTTTAGTTTGTGTACACATATGTATATTATTTTACATAATTGACGCCAAACGGCTTTTATACATAATTTGTGGTTCTAAGATTAACAGGAATGTAATGAAACACGATCAACAAAACATATGGTCTACGTACTATGTTGATTATTGAAATCGCCGCATCGAACGGTCCAGGTGTGCTCATTTCTCATAAAATTCGTTCTACCATAGATACTCTAAAGCTACTATTACTTCATCTGGGGTAGACGTTAGAAATGAGAATTGTGTTCAGAACGTATCCAACTCACTTTTGGATAGGTATGTTTATTGGTTCCTTATAAACTGATGAGAAGTCAGATGCAAAAGAGACCAAAACGATCGGTTGTGGTCGCGGTTGCTATCAGATATAAAAAGTGGCTAATTAATGCTAGACAATAGTGTAAGTAGTAGTACTGTTCGTCCGTTGTCGGATCAAGTAACATTTGTAGTTTTATAAACTGTTTCGGAAAAGGCCTAGGACGTTTACTACAGTACCTACAACGGTAAATAGTTTTGTAGTTGACTCGTCCGATGAGCCGGAGAGATTAATGAGTGTTTGCGCCGAAGTGTTGGAAAAAGCCATTTGTTCGGCATTCAAGACACAAAGTCGGTCTAAGTATAAACAGCGACCGTATCAGTGTGTGTGTGTGTGTGTCGACATGAACTCTCATTTGGCCGCAGCACGATGGAAGCAGGTGACTTGTACCCGAGTGTAAGTACGGATAATGAGATTAAGATGTCGAAATTTGAGTGATTCGTAAAATATTATATGCCAATAAAGACTACGACGATTATTTCCTTTGGTTTTGGTTGTCGACCGAACTCGGTTATGTATTTGCTTGCCATTTCAATGAAAACGGCATAATTAATTTAAAACTAATTACCGCCGATAAAACTGGGTTATGAAAACACATTAATTACACCGCAGGCAGCGTGGCCATCGCCTCATAAGATATTTTATATTCATCTTGAAACGGTTGTTCATTTTGATTCTCAATCGATTTGTATTTGTACTTTTTTTTTTACAAGGGTTGAAATATGTCAGAGCGGATACTCGTGAGAGAGATGGTGTGTTGGTTTTACTACTACCTAGGTATAATCAGTAAGCTAAGACCAATGACAATATAAGTCTTAATCTCGTATAACAATGGTTATTATTATTATTATTGTAACATTTTTTCAATTACAATTGAACGTTGACTATATTGTTAAGTGAATTAATTGAATACACTATAGAACTACTTGTCGGGTTATATGGATATACATTATAAAAATTATAGAAAAAGGATAACATTGAAGTGCCAGTAATAATTGCCTGTTGTTATGTTATGAGTTTCTGCTATAGTTATTTAATAGGTGTCAACTCCAAGAAACTTCCTTTGGGTAATTGGTTGTAATTACTAATAGAGTTAATTAATGTCATCGACTTGCATAACGCCTCGAAAAATATAATGAAATATTTTTGTGCTATTTTGTACCTACACGTTGTTTAAAATAGCTAAACAATTGAAATCTGAGAGTTAAATGTAATTAGTTTTATACTACTGGAATATTCAAAACTAAATCTCATAATTGACATGCTAGTTATCCTAAGTCCTCTGAGCTTTTTAAATATTCTTTTAAGTCATTGTCAAACGCACAAACTAACTCATTGGTGTTAGCTATTGTTCTGTGGAGGTGTTATTATTATTGTTTTTTTTTTTACTTTGTTCATTAATTAAAAATTTGGGTAATGACTGGAAGAGAAGAGAATGCGGTGGAAGTGAACATTTGATGAGTAGCATATAAAGTGTGGTTGGTTGAGATGAAAAAGGCAACAACAGCAGTGTTGTGTGACAGGTTAGGTAAGCCAGTAGAGTAAAAAAGAAAAATGTACAAAACGATAATAAGGAAAACACAAAAGTGTCTGAGTGACTACTTCAATCAGTATGAAGAGTGATTTTTTAAGAGGAAGGTTAGGAGTGAAATGGTCTGGGCGTGGTGTTGGCTTTATTTTTCTAATTTTATCCGTCCTATTCCATACCATATACACCTCAAGGTGGTTCAGAACCACTGGTTATCTTATCTTTTAAGAACAATGGAATTTATAAAACTATACACAGTTATATGAATAAACATAACATAAATAAATGAACTGTACGGGAGAGAGGGGGGGGGCGTATCAATTAATTAAATTGTATTCAAGTTGGTACTTACTCGCTTAATAATCTATAAGTGTGTAGTGCTGTTTCAATTTAATTAAATCTGCAATTTGATTTAACAATAATTACCGCAAGTAAGTACCGTAGTGCAAGTATAAAATGTGTAGGTGCTTATGCAATGTGGAATAATTGCGGTTTGACATTAACTGAAATATGCGATTTCAGACTCATCAGAGTACGTTATTCGGTTTCGGAATCGAAAATAGAATAATATTTAAACTGAATAATAATTTTATATTATTACTGTGTAATTATGATGATATATCGGAGTGCCTATTGACAAGACCCGTGTGTTTTTTGTCGGGCAAGTGTGTTTTTTGTTTAGCTTCGATTCGAAAAAGCTGAGAAGGTTATAATTATACTAAATTTATGGATGCACAGCCATGTTATTGTATACAATCTCATGGAAAGTAAAAATACTGCGTTATTTTCCATGATAAATATTTAAATATTAGGTCAGGTGATGGTAATATGATGATAACACCGTCACATACAGTGCCATCAATATCTCACCGGGTTTAATTAATAATTTTATTTTATTTTTCCATTATACAATATTATATTTTAAGTAACAACTAATTTGGCTGATTTTTTTCTCCTTTAAATTAATTTTGTTTTTTATTTCGCACGTTTGAAAACTGTCTCAACCTTGTTGTGATACAATATTTGAGAATGAAAATCAGTGCTTTGTTTTTATGTTCATCACACGGAAATCTAAGTACACTGGCATTATTGTCTAACACATCATCAAATGTGTCCTGAAAGACACTAGCCTTAGTACAATAAAAAAAGGAGTTTTCTATTGTTTTTATTAGTTTATGAAAATGTTCATTTGGGTGAATCAAATTTCCCCTGGATTTTAAATTGGTAAAAGCAGCTCCAGGTATGCTTAAATAAGTCTTTCCTAAAAATATCAATTTGGTTTATAATTATGTTGTTAATTTGTACCTTTATTTTAAGTACTGTTATTTACTGTGGCAATAATATTAGGAATCTTATTTTGTGAAATTTCTTTCCATAATAACTCTCCTGCAAGATTTGTTTGCATTTAGAGGCAAATTGTATACATTTTACAATTGTAAAAAATAATAAATACTAGTAGACAATTATAAAATTACCTGGTCAATATTATTATAGATTTTATTAAAAATTTATGGAATAGCACCTATTTTTAAGAAACATCTTTCACGTTGGTCATCTTTAGTGGTCTATAAATTCATTATTAGGTATAAAAGTAGGTTTTTCGTTATTATTTTAGTCGGATCAAGTAACTAATTATTATACTTATAGATTTTTAGCTTACACTTAAATCTTTTGGAACGATTAATACCACTCAATATCTTTACTGGCTTTAATGAAAAATTACTTTTTTTCTTTACACAGTGTTTTTATGCGATGTGATGTCAATTTTTCACCATTTTTTGTTTTTACCTCCATCCCAACTTGCGTTTTTTTGATAGCAACTTTAAAAACTTAAACGAGAAACGTCGGGCAAGCGCAATCTGTAAGTATTTATCTAGTTGTACACAGAAGCTGCTCGACGTGTTATTGTGCTGACTTTATTTTTTTTTGCAGCGCTAACAAATGACCGTTTAGCGACCGCGTTTAACACCCAAACAGCCAACCTTTGGTCGGTTCATAACTCCTTTTCTGCCTTTAACACCGTGACCTCCATTCAACGGAATTCAACAATCACTGTCGGTATATAATTACACGGTTTGTCTTTGTTTAGCCGGCAATAAACCCTTCGGACACACGTTATACGCGGTTTGCTGTAACATTTCGGTGGGCACGTGTACACGTTTGCTGAATCGTAGGTACTACATCCTTATTAAAATCCACAAAGTACCTAATTAGCCGGCCGAGTACAGAACGACAAATTCGACACCAGTGTACACAAAAAAGTAAGATACATAAACTAAACGACATAATCGGAAACACTTAGCGACAGCTTTCCGAATTTATTGAATTACCATTCAATATTGTTATGAACCATGTAGCCATTGTTCGATTATAGCGTTATCTATATTGACTTTACACATTCAAAGCTCACCAGACAGTCATTCCTCGCGAAAATTTAAATTAAACAGTGTGGCCAACTTGATTTGGTCATTGAAACGGAAGCCTCCATTTTAGAATTTTCAAAATTGTCTGGATCTTTTTTACACAACTATTCTGCGAGTTATTTAAAAACAAAAAAATCTAGGTTAGGTAAGACAATTGTCTCATTGTTAGATAGTTTATGCGAACATTTACACAAAGTCTTTTAAAGTAGGATGCCTAAAAATAAGTAGAATGTGTACTGTACATCTACGCAATGCTATAATAATGTGTTAAAATAACTTTATACACTTTCATTCAACGACCATACTCATTTTTTTTAAGGTTAGGTTAGGTTTAATAAAACGAAATCGTAGACACATTTCCATTGTTTGAATTAAACCATCCTTGCGTTAGTATTTGAACACTCTAAGTATGAACTCTTGCAGGGTAAGTGTATACGGGATAAGTGCGAGAGAGCCTCATTATTAAGATATTATTCAATCATTTTAAGAACAAACATGATATCTTGAAGTTTTCTCGCTAAAAGCGTATTTTATTTGCTCGGCTTCACGATGAACATTTTTAAGTCCATCTAACATTAAGTAAGTTTATTTAGAGTAATTATTGGTGGTTTTTATACAAAGTGTCGTGTTACATAGTACTGTTCTTTTGCCGATACACTTATATTTTAATATTTTACACCGTATTATAATTTGTGGGCTAAGAAATTCGACAGTAATGCCGATAAAAGTATAATGTTTAATTGGAAATCCGATATTCGGTTAATGTTAAGTCTATGGTGAGTGTGTAACGAAGATGTGTACTCATTAATATCCTATCCTATCCTATCATAATGTGACAGATGGGGGGGGGGGGCTTTTTGCAATTACACGCCTAATGAATATCGATCAAACAAGTGCGGCAAGTGTGGACATTGTCCAGCTAGAAGTATACTCACCGTATACCCTAAGCGTGCCTTCGGCGTTGCCAATGGAATTGGTCGATATACAGCTGTAAGTGCCCACGTCTGACTGGTCGAACGTCTTGATGACGATATAGTAAGCTGCTTTGTAGTCGGTCACAGTCTCCCGGAGCACGTGTTTCGGCCTAAAAGAAAAAAAAAATTCAAGATTTTGTGAATTTTATCAATTTTTAATGGAAAAACAAAGAAGGTAGGCGTGACGGTTTGACTAAGCTTAGCCAATCGCACGATAATTTGAATTAACTGTATGAGCTATACAAAATGTATCTTAATTTTTTGAACACATACAATACAATGGTAAGTGAATGGGCTAGCCCTGTATAAGCGCCTATAGACCGCTTAATTCGACTGGGGTAACACAACTTGTTTAACCTTGTCATCTGATTGGCCAGTGGTTTGACATTCTGTGATTGGCTGTTGGCGTTTACTAGCCGGCACGGCTGCGTGGTAGTTGGTCGTTTGTGCGATAGCCTCTAGAAAAGGGCCCTTAATTACAGAAGTATACATTTTTACTTCATGTTTTCATGGGTTGAACTCACTAGCGTGGGTCTAAGATTCTTAAATCAATTAAGAATACATCATTTTAAGTGTTGTTGGGTTCGCAATACGAGCATTGGCATACGTGTCGCTAGGGAAATATGTTTATTGACTGGCAGTGGAATAAGTTTTTATTACAATAATTGTTTGGCATTGTTTGGCGTGCAAGTGAAAAACAAACAAAACAATTTACCTCAGCTGTGGTTGCCAAAATACAAAATATCGGTTACACCGCATGTTATGGGTTTGCTCGAGTAAAACTATATAAAAAAAAAAAACACATAACCGTAGCTTTATGTGCTGCTGTGCGGTGTCAGTTGTTGTAGTAAAATTTCTTGACGCGTTGCACAATTTATTATCATAACACACACCTTTACACAACATTTATAGAAGTAAGTGGTACAACGAAAATTATACGTTGATTCTTAAATTTAAATGTTCCCCATAGTTTACCAGAAGTTGGAGCTATAACTTATGCGACCAACTGCGCACGCATTAGAAGACTAACAAATGAACATAAATTATTCGGTAGGGTGCAAACGTTTTAAATGCATGCGTTCCGACGTTTTTATTATAATTTTGATTTATCTCTATATTCTCATCGAATAAAAAATAATAAATTGTGCTCCTGGCCGCAAAGCAACTTTATTGCCACCAACAACAAGCTTAAAGTAGTTATTAAACGTCGGTTTCCTAAACAGCATTATTTTTGTTGACTTATGATTTCTTAAGTACAATTTTGATGTTTATTGCCATAAATTAAAAAAAAAATTTGCAAACAAATAAACAAATAGCATCATCATATTATGTCGAAAGTATAAGCCTGTTTTCATACTTTCATAGTAGTTTCTACATTTTTGATATGTACCAATTATTTATTTTATCGCTAAAGGTTTATACACAGATTTTATTTGTTGGCAACGGTGTAATGTTATTTAGATTGAATTACTGTATCGTTGAGATTGTATACAAAATATATTTTAATGGCAAGAAAAAAAAAATACCTCTTGTACCTCTATTCGATTATAATTGTATTACTTCATTCGGGCTCGTGCTTTTCTGTAATTAAATAAAAGAAGAATTGCGGTAATTAAATTACATGTTTTTTTTCGGTTAGGGAGCTGATGTGAACTACACACAATCTTACGGTAAACCAATAAAGCGAGTTTTATCCACTTATAATTTTCATTATTTTCCGGAGGATTTATGTTTAGCAAAAAAAGGGTATAAAAACATAAAAATGTCTTATATTGTAGTTTTTGATTTTGTAGAAGTTATAACGTTGTCCGTACTTTTATCAAATTATAAAACAATTATTAAATACAAATCATTTTCAAATGGTACTTCAAATATACCAACTTTAATGTTGTGTTTGAATGATTTAATTTCGAAAAATCTATTGACATAACACTGGCTTTATTGCAGCATTGTTAATGCTTTGTTTTGTGCCATTTAAACTATATTTGATTAATTTTTAAATATTTGAACAGACATCCAACACGGCTGTTCCTCGTCTCCTTCAAGAACATCAAAATGTGGTGTTGACCTATCTCTCTTTTTAAAGACATAATATTACTCTATTAATGTGTATTCTTTTGTTTTGTTAATTACGTTTCCTCGTTTCTCTAGTCTCTGGGGTTCGGTAGTTACAGAAATATGTGATCAGAATAAAAAAAAATAGCCGCAAAGCTAATTGTCTTCATTAATTCTACATGCGTTTGTAAACCATCGGATAATCATTTTATAAATATATATATATATATATATATATATATATATATACATGGAAAATAACTGAAAATAGTATACTATTATATTTGATTAAAAAACTAACCCTCTTTCGGAATCAACAATTTAATTTTCTTATTTTTTATTAACGACTATTGGTAGCGGTGACTGTACGAATCTGAAAATCCGGATTTTTACAAAAAATCTGCTAGTTAAGCCAGTTAAAAATCTGATAAGTATTAAATATTATGACAATATAAAACTGTGTGTGCCCAAGTAAAATATTTTTAATGGAAATGTAAAAAAAAAAAAAACCCAACACCAAAAGCAATTTACTGTCAAAGTTTTTTTTTGTTGAAAATTTTTATCAAAACATTTTACTTAGGTACACAGCTTTATGTATTGTATAATAATATTTAATATTTATACGATTTTTAAGTGACTTAAATAGCGGATTTTTGGATTACTATCGCACTATAGTAAAAATAATTAAAAATAATTGTATTTTCTGATACTTGCACGTGGCATGGAGATTGTGGGCACAAAGCCTCATCAGTTAAGACACTTAGTAACTTTGACAGTCGGTAGAAGTAAAGAAAAAATGTATAAGACAATTGTATTTAGAAAGATATGACAATATATAGGCAAGTCGTTAATCGCAGTGTATTGTGGCAAAGTCACTGGCAACTAATATAAGGAATAATCACTGTAAAGGGTTGTTCATTAGAATTGGGGAGGGGGGGGGGTGTGTAAAGATAGTTAAACGCAATTTGTGTGCTCGTTATGCTTTTTGTTCTGAACGTCAAGTTCTATAATTTCACATACGAAGGTAACTTGTAAGTTTGCAGAAGAAGAGAAGAGAGACAGAGAGAGAGACGGTCGACTGTGGTCTAGTAAGTAACGCGTTTAACACACCTTATGCAAATACTTGTACATAATATTATTATGTTACGTTTAATATAGATACATATGTATATAGAATGGGACACAGTTTGTAGTATATCGGTGGTTTTGTTGATTAAATCGTTTGTGTTCAAACTCATAACGCTGCATCCCAAAATTAAGCTAAAAAAAGTGAAATAAAGACAAAAGTTTCCAACTTTCTAGGAGAAAGCTCTTGCTTTTGTTTGTCAAAGGTAAATCGATGGTAATAAATCTAAAGATTATTCCAAACGAAAAATTGGAACCATTTCGACTATTTAAAAAAAATTATAGTACGACTTAAAACTAGGAATGTTAACTAAAAAGTTGTTTTATTATTGATATTAACTGATTTGTATATTTGTCTTTGTGTGATTTTCTTTTTCTTTAAGATTATCATCGATTTTTGTAATAGTTTAGCATACTACTAAGCATGAGCTAAACCTAAGCCAAAGGTTAGTTATGCACACTTTTGAATACATTTGAAATAAAACTTTAGCAATAAGCATTTTGTTGGCAGTCCTGTTTTATGATCCGTGTGATATAATAAATGTTTATAAAAGTTGCTATTCTTATTATAGTTTAAAACTTAACTTAGACCGGATGTCCTTTTTTTTCTCAACAGTAACAAATGCCTAAGTTAAAGTTCTATCTTTAGACTCTCCAAGATCTGTTAGTGGTCTTCGGTTTCCCAAAACCTACGGTATTTGTAAAAGATAGGTAAAAAAAAAAATAATTTACCAGTGAATAATTTTTGAATTTAATTAGTTTGATATTGTTTTTCACTATGATGTATTACAGGTATAGTAAATATGACTCTGACACTTTGTCAAGGGTTATTAATTAGGGTATTATTTGTGTTATATTAACTAGATTAAAATGTGTTTGGAATGGATCTTGTAAAATGAAACGTTGTAAGCAGCTGTTATGTTATGACTGGATTTGATAAAGTCATTCACAAAAAACGCTTAGATAGTAAAAATATATTATTAAACATCCATCAATAATATTACTTGTATATTGGTAATAGTGTGTTCATAATCGTGTTACTTGTTTTTTTAGGTTTTTTCTTTAATACATAAGAAGTTTGACTAAAAAATAATCTTGTTATTTTCTCTGCTCCACGAAAAAACATTGAATGTTATCTCTTATCACTTTTCACTTATCTATATTCTCTTATCATTTATCCCATCACTTATCTCTTATCACGTGAAAATGGAGATATGAAATTTCTTGTAAAAATCAATTATTATAGCTATCGGAAATATCCAAAACGACTCTTGCAGTTGTCTTAGTTCTAAAATATAACACTTTTTTTTTAAGCAAACGCCTTAAAAATTACTAAATTATATCGTGGCCGATACTATAGTTCTCTATAGTTAAGACTGTGGACACGAGCAGGACACGACGGTTGACCCAAACTATAATATTTTTCGGGTTCGTTCCAGTTTGATGACATTATTGATTTTTCTTCGACCTTTTGCGCGTAATACATTATTAATAATATAATAATAAACGGCGGAAGTATAACTTTTTTGGAAAAACCCGTTATTAACGCGGTACCTCTAAACAATAATAATTATTCACGTCGCAAAACAAAGTCGATCCATCAAAAGCAGCAACGTCGTGAGTGTATTTTTCAAGGAGAGTGTGAAAGAAAAAAAAATGTAGCAAAAATACAAGCCTGGCAGATATGGGCGATATAAGAAGAAGAGTAAGGGCACTTGGCGTGTTGTTGTTGTTGTCTCCACCGCCATCAGACTTTCAATTACCCGAGAATAAAAGGCGAGAAGAAGAGCGCCAAAAGTTTAGCTCGGTTCGGCCATTAATCACGCGACAGATTAGTCAAAAACTTGTGTGTGCTGCGTTCATCAAGGATCTTCAGTGTGTGTATAAAAAACCACGAGGGTCGATGGCGAGGGTCGCATGTCATGTGGGGTGGTCACCCCGTATGTATAGGGCGTCGTTGTATGGATAAATTAGGGACAAATGTATAATTAATGATTCGGCGCGGGTTTTTTTTATTCATCCCTCTTTATGTTTTTTCTTATATTTTCTTTTAACTTTCTAACCCCCCCCCCCCTCTCAAGACTAAATACACCAGTCTTTATGTGATCCGATGAACGGGCCTTGGCGGCGTTCACCTTGTGTCAGTTGCTCGTGCTTAAGAAATACTTGAGAAGTACATACTTTAATGATGCCGAGGACAAAACACACAACAGACGGCGGCCATGGTGTAATTACATTACTTACCGTACTTTATTGTATATGCACTGTACCTTCTTGGAAGTGTTTCTATACACAACCTTCCCTTACCGAAGGGTCGCGCTTGTCCCATGAAAAATCTTTAGTGTAACCCGTCCAGTTGATGTTTTCAAATTATTAGGAATTACTAAAACCGTCAGCATGGAAGTGTTGCCAACGATGTGAAACACTATAGAAGTTACCTTGCTGTCTTTGTTCGTTATTTTGCACAAATTAAACACACCTACGTTTAAACATTTAGATGTAAATTGCCTAAAAATCGTTTAATTAACATAGAAATACTTAGAAAATTCAGACAATTTATGCTACACTCTCGTAGATGTTACATATTTCCTAAGTTTGATCATTAAAAACTAAACTAAACAGTTACTCGCAGACAAGGTGAGCCACGTGAAAATAGCCTACACCTACAATCCACTCGTTGGCCTTTTTTTAATGTGATTTTTTATTTATTTCAAGATTAACAAATGTAAATACAAACACTATTACGGCAAACTAATAGATCTGCTTGTTTTCCGTGCAAGATTTATACCGTAAGATCAAATGATGCACGGGTCTTATAAACACTGACATCGAATACTGGGATTTTCGAATCCCTGACTCGCTGTCTCGCGTGACGTCACGCGGGTTCAAGATGAACTGGACGGATTACTAGCAGGGGTGGATTAAGTAATTAGAAAAATGGGGCTAGAAAAAAAAAATCACTTCAAATACATACAAGCAATAGACAAAGAGTTTAAGTGTACAATGGAAAAACATTACATATTATTCTAAAATATTATAATTTATACGTTTTTTCGGTTATCTGTAAAAGTAATAGTAAAAATAAAATTGAAAGTGTAACGCTACAATAGTAACATGAAATTTCTTGTATCCAGCCCAATAACATATCCATGGTAGAAGTACACTTTTAATCCGCCCCCGGTTACGAGTATAAGCGAGTAAAAACAGACAATTTGTTCACAGAGCCAAATAAGCTAACAAAAACGGTAACAAATTCGATACTTTTACCATGCCGGACTGACCTACATAATTCCACGAGCATTATACTGGGGTGTACACAGATAGTAGGATAATATATTATAAAATTATCATGTGCGGGCACGATTTAATGGCGAGTAATCCGACGCTAAACCAGTACTTTAATAAAGGCTTTGAGTTTCCACGAAAGAGTAGTCGCAATGATAATTTTACCGAGAAACGTTCGCCGTATCGACGAGGTAAAAACGGAAATGAAATTTGTCATTATGTTATTTTGAAACTATAATTATATTATCTGCATGTACAACATTTAGTTTAGAAAAAAACATGTCGATAAACCTGGCAAATAAACATCCATTGGTGTAAATGCGCGCTTGGGCCAAACTGTGCACCTATTATTCCGTTCTCCTAAAGACAAAATATGCAGTTAGAGCACTGGTGGGAATCTTCCTATGATAAACGTTTTTAAACTAGAAGTCAGTGCTGTTTAAATATCGTATACTTACCCTATAGCACAGATTAAATTATAAAACCATATGGTGCATTTTGTAGTAAAACAATAGATTTTTAAATAACGATTTTTGATTGGCATAAACAGGCAATTCAGTAGGGCCAAATTTTTACAACAATATTAACGTAAACTGATAAGAAATGTTGATAACGAGTAGTTGATTAACGACGGTTGATGGTGATAACATTAGAGATGTATGATGAAATTTCTCAGACTACACTGTATAACAGAATAAGAATAATTGTTTTCATTATTTGGTCACTCTGACCTGATGCTGTAAAAATAAAAATAAATATACAAGGGTATCGTTGTGGTCGTTATGCATTCCAAAGACATATTATTAGAAAACCAAAAGCCTGAAACGGTTCTTCAATTTCCGGGGTAACAATTTCCACGAGACGACGATTATAGTTTGCCCAAAAAGATTAAAAACGTTTCTCGCTGACAAAACTGTCAAAAATCATCAAAATGTTCAAATCATAACAATTACCATCCAAGTGTCTATGTTGTTGTTTGTAATTTATTGATACATTCAGTTTTTTTTCACTTGTAAATTTATGTATTTTAAAATAGTTTTATTTGCTGAGAAATATAATTCAGAAACTATTGCATTATACTGTCGGTTGTCGCAAAAATAATATAACATCTATATAAATTTATCCTTTTACAGATTAATATTAAAATATTAATTAGATGGTTCGACCGCTTTTCTTTAGTTTATTTTATAATCGGCTCAGCGCTGTGGAAAATATGCATACTTGGAATAATTGGCATACCAACGTCATTATGATGTTAAATTGTACTTAAGCCGGACAAAAGTGTCCTTATTTATGATTTATTTATTAAGAACTTACCCGTCCATCAACATTTTCGTTCGATTTCTGACCCAATAGTTGATAGACTTTGGATAGGACTCGACGTGGCATTCCAGCGTGACGTCTGTGCCAATTGGTGCCCCCAAAAGTTGATTTGGTACCACAATCACAGGAGGAACTATAAAAAAAAATGTAAATATAAATATATTATGTAACATGTATTTAGGTATTAATATTATTTTCTATTGTATAATCGTTTTGTTTATATGCTTGTCTTGGGAGACAATAATATGAACCACTTCAAAGGTGGACAAATAATTTGGTTTTATATAACTTGAATTACCAAGTACAATTTCAGAAGACTCATTCCAAGCTACTGTAGATTAAAATAGGGTATGAAATTAAAGGATATTCCAACTAATCGACTTAACCGCATTATTAAGACCTATTTTAGAATGTCCAACTCGTGTTTTGGTAGACATTACTGCAATATGTGTTCTGTTAACAATCTTTTTGGGGATAAATCACATTGAACGGTACTCATACATTTTTAGAAAACGTAAAAATCAATTTTTAAATTAAAATGCTATGACGATAAAAATGTTAAACAACATTCCAAGTTTTCAATGAAGTTTTTCTGGGTATTGCACCAATGTGGCTGTCAATTCCATTTCACACAAGCTTTTAGGCGAGAAATTAAAATACTTAACGGAAAAATATAAACTAGAATTTTATTATATATTTTATACAAAGGCTCAAACGTATTTGGAAATATTTATTTTTCGCTTTAATATTTGTTTTGTATGACGTGTAAAAAATCATGAAAAAACACGATTGAAATCAAAATGTTGCATTTTCATCAATACTAAAGTTTTTTTTTAACTAAACACAATTTACACATAAAAGCGTTTTTTTTTTAAAAGTAATTTTATCATTGGCACGTGTATAGGTTTATAGGTTTCTGTCTGATAACACAAGTCGAGGCTCGGAATGAGCTATTAAGTACCTAAATACATAATACAGAAAATTATCTTTTAATTAACGACATTTTCAAAATAATACCAAAACCGACAAAACACTTCATTGCAGATGATTGTCATAGCTTACTATCTACTGCAGTTGACAAAACATAAAAACCATAGTTAAAATTCTACAACAGACGCTTAAAATTTATTAAAGACTCGGTCAGAACCACAATTGGTCTCTCCCATCTGTTAAACTCCTTTCAAATTACCAAAGAACCTCGCCCTATATGGAATACATAATAAGATCTCTATACCATCAAACACATAATGACAAAAATATAAAAAAAAAACTAAAAATTCTAAAAAGCACTAAATAAAGGAAATAGCTATAAAACGAGCAATTTTAACAGGTTATGTCCACTACGATTTATTATTCTTATAATCGAATTATTATTGTTACAAAAATATGTGTGATAACTAATTGATAAGATACTTTATTTGACTTATAAGTATTTAATAAGATTAAATTAACTAAAATCAAAAAGTACTCAATTTTTTTGAATAATTGTTTGAGTGTTGTATACAGCGTAAGAGTTAAAATAATATCAAAACATCAAAGTTAATATTTAAAAAAATTTTAATAGTTTTTAAACAACATTAAACGTTAAGGTAGTGTAGCGTTTACAAGTGTTTCCATTTATTTACAGTGTTTCAGAATTTTACATTTTAAAAAATATGTTCATACATGGGTTGACATAATTATTAAAGCCTACACGTTAATTTATTAACTAACAAAGTTTTCCATTAAAAAAAAATGCGTTTTATTTATAAAAAGTAAAATTTTATGTATAAAAACTAATGTTACTTTTGTGTTCGGTTTTTTAAAAATGTTTTTCGTTTAATGAATCTCAATAATGCATGTAATGACTGACGAAGCGAGGTTGAGTTGGAAATTATTTAATGTAGATAGTTTGATGTTTCTGACGTCCGTTGTGCAGCAACTTTATCATGTAAAATACAGTAGCCAGGTCAAAAAGTTTTGACTGCCCGGAATGCACTTTCGAGTTGACTGGTCGGTCAGTGTACGAACAGCCGGTCGCCTGACCCGACCGGAACAAACTGCCAGGGTTTACCATCGTTTCCGGACTCGTTGTTGTTAATCTTCAGACTATTTGTATACAGTGTGTGATTTATGGATAATTACACCAGATGTTAATACAAAACACTTTCACCCGACGTATTCAGCGAAACACACTTGATTGCTTTAGACTTTTGCTAATTTGCTGACCGAAATGGTGTCTAAGCCATAAACACAAACTAAAGTCCTATCGCGTTGATTAGAAAATCTTAGATAGAGCTAAATTTAGAAATCCCTATAGATATTAAATTTATCACTTTCACTATGAATTGGCAATTTAAAAGCATCATAAATGTTCATTCAATTGTGTATATATGTATTTGTTCTTTTTAAGTTTTATACGATAAAAAAATACCATACCTTATTAATTATGATACTTCTTATTTTTTTCATAATAAGTAACATCCCACATAGCATTTTAAAAATATTAATATTTTCAAAATGTTTGAATTAAGTTTTATTGCAAATATTTTTTTTAAAAATATTGTTAAATTGTCTTGAAAATATTTAGTCTCCAAATATTTACCCAAATATAATGAAAACATTTCCACAAAATTGTATACCAAATATTATAAATCAGTTTTTCACTTAACATTTTTAAAATATTTAGTCTCCAAATATTTAGACCCAAATATAATGAAAACATTTCCACAAAATTGTATACCAAATATTATCGGGACAGTCTTCTGTTTTACCTGTAATTCCTGATGATGATATGACTAAAATTGAAAATGACGAAGAACTTGGTAAAATGGAATACAGATTAATACATGATTTATTATACAGATCTACTGTGGTATGTATTTCAATTTAATGAAAAATTTATAATTATTATTATTTATATAATACACAAATGATGCAAAAAATGTTTAGTGACACATTTCTAATTAAGTACTCATTTATAGGGTTTAAAGGGAAAAATCAATTTTCTACCTTACAATGTTGCAGTATTATTTTTGGTAAGTTAAAACCAATAGTATATAGTTTTCTTGCATTATTTTACATTGCTATAATGACTATTGCCACATTGACCAAGTTGTGAATATTGGACGCACTACAGCTGTAGATAGAAAGTGTAAAAATACACTGTATTTATGTATTTACGTATAAATATATAGTACATTACCTATATATTAGTTTATTATTATATTTACATCGACATACCAATGTATGCTATAATATGATATACCTGTTTTATATATTTCTAATTTTATTAATTCATTTTCGTGACTATTGCTTATATTAAGTATTAAAACTCATCAAAAAAAAAAAATGAAAAATTTAATAGGAGCTATATATATTTACATATATAAAAATAGAATTTATCTGTTTATATAAACAGATAAATGGATGTACAAATTTTCTGTATAAGAACAACATTATCATTACTATAATTAATTATGAACTTAATATTTTATTTCAGAAGCAGTTCGTTCAATTAAGAAATATACTAAAGTTCCTAACATTGAAATAAAAAAACCATTGAAAAATTGGATGGCACAAGCTGCCTAAAGAGAAAAATTGAAAACACAAAATAACTAAAAGCTGTACATTTTGATTATTATAAAAATTTTATAGTAATTATACTATAATAAAATGATACTTTATAAAACTTGAAATCCTACTCATTTCTTCTTTATTTTATATTTTTATCAAAATATTACAAATGATCACTAAGTACCATATAATAAATAGCACATTCTAATATAGTTTAGTATATAGGTTATAATATTGCAAGTTAGATAATATGTTTGTTTTCAAAGATTTTAAAAATATATTGAATTTAATAATATTAGAATTATTTGGCTATAAACATTTTAATAATATCTAAATTGAATCATTTAAGAAATATTTAGATTTAAATATTTTGAAAATTTAAAATAAAAATATTGTACAAATATAATACTACATTATTGTGAAAACCTTTTTTCACCTGCCAAAAAATGTTTTCTAAATGTTTTCAAAATATTTTAAAACATTGTGATAACCTAAATAAAATATTTACATTTTCTTCTTAAATATTTTATCAATATTTTGAAAATATTATTTTGCTATGTGGGATACAGGTGTTATAGAAATTTATAACGTAGGTGCTTTGTTGGACTCGACTACTATTTAATATTAATTTAAACTACTTTATCTTGAAATCGAAACGCATTAAAATTTATAATACATTATCAATTGTAAATAATTATGTTTGTTGTAAAATATTTTATTCATAGAACTGAATTAATTAGTGTAAACTCTTAAAATGATTACTATATTGTTGACTTTCAACGTGGGTATACATTGTGTCATTTGAACATATATTTGTTGTGTGTTTTAAAGCGTATACGCAATCTTAAAGGATATTAGCAAAGTTTTACTTAGATGTTTCAAAGTTAAGTATTTCGAATTAAATAAATATTTTGCTTTAATTCAAACTATTATTTTTAAATGGCTTTATTCCAGTTCTTTTTTTTTTATTTACTTTGCTGTCGTCTTTTTTATTTGCAATGCTCAATTCCTTACCCTCATACATTATTTAGATGATTTTCCTTTCAAAATCACTGAAGTATTATCTGCTTCACCTAATATGTATTTGCGTACCTACAAGTTCAAATATAAAAACACTCAAAGCTGCACAACTACAAATATAATTTAGTTCAAGAGTTTGCATTTATTATAAACAGTTTATTTGGGCAATCGTTTTTTTTTCACAATTTATTTTAAGTGAATAAAGAAACGTAGGTATTATCTAAAAAACTTTTAAGCGTTAAACCAACATAATAAATAAATCTCTCATAAACATTAATTATTAATCGTTTAAATTTTGGCGAAACATGACTGAATGTACCGAAAAAACGTAATTTAGTAATTCATTTATAAGTGTACAAAAAAAAAAAAAAAGTTTTTAAGTATACAGTCAATTTCTATATTTTTAATAATCAAATAAATAAATACTGTCCCTTAGAAAATATAGCCTTGTTTTTACTGTGCATTTTCTAAAGATTAAAGTGTCTTCCTAGCCGATATACCGACTTTAATTAAACTCATTAATTAAATTAGATGTACCGACCTGTATATTAAGACACA